AGCACCCGCAAAGGCACAGGGAGTCCAGTCGGTTCACAGGCCATGGCTTTTATTCGGCTGTCACATCACAGGGGTGGGGAGGGGGAGAGGGGGCCACCGCGTGTCCCGGGCAGGAGGACTAGTGGTAGCGGTGAGCCAGGGCGTGGGCCACCACGCGGACCAGCTTGTGGAAGGCGGCGTGGACGGCGGGGGTGAAGTCCTTGCCGAAGTGGGAGGCCATGACGATGATGAGGACGTCGCCCAGGAGCTGCAAGAGAAGAGGGGGGGCGTGAGGGGGGCCCGGGCCGGCACTCGCACCGCCTCCGGGTTTGGAAGGGCAACCCCCCCCACACACACACACACCGTGTCCAGCTGCGCCCCATTCACCAGGGGGGATGGTCTCCTCTCCCACTCCCCATGCCCGCCCACCCCAGTTCTCTTCTCTCCCTCCTGGGCGGTTTTCCTCCAGTGAACAGGGCTTCGTTCTCGTGGCCCTTTCTTCCACGCCCAGGGAAATACGGATCGCCACTTTGGGGTCAGGAAGCCATTTTTCTCCAGGCCAGTTTGGCCGGGGATCCGGGAAGGGTTATTTGCCATCTTCTGGGCTTGGAGCAGGGGTCACTGGGGGGGGGGGGGGTTTGGTGTTTTCTTGCCTTATGCCTTGTGCAGGGGGTTGGACTAGATGACCCTGCAGGTCCCTCCCCACTCTAGGATTCTATACCAGGAGATGGGGGCGTCTTGCCACTGAAGGCGGATTGGGAAGGAGGCCAGGGTGGTGTATAGCCACCCCGAGAACCAAGGCAGCTCAAGAGGGACTGGGACTCAGGCGACCACCCCCACCAGTGTTCCCTCTAAGCTGAGTCAGTGTGAGCTAGCTCTCGTTTTTTAGCCTCTGGCTCACACATTTTTGTCTCTGCACAGGAAGGGATGGGGCTCCAGAGCAAACTAATTCATGCAGCAGCCAAATCGCTCACTCACAGCTTTCATGCCAGTAGCTCACAAGGTAGAATTTTTTGCTCACAGGACTCCACAGCTCGGGGGGAACATTGACCCCCACACACACCCCACCCTTGCCCCCCAGGCTCACCTTGAAGTTCTCGGGGTCGACGTGCAGCTTGTCGCAGTGCAGCTCGCTCAGGCTGGCGAAGGTCGCCTTGATGTTGTCGAGGTTCTTGATGGCATCCCCGAAGGAGGTGAGCACCTTCTTGCCATGGGCGCGCACCTTGGGATTGCCGCAGATGGCGGTGGCGCTGGAGAGGTTCCCAAAGTCGGCGAAGAACCTCTGGGTCCAGGGGTACACCACCAGCAGGCTGGGGGGAGGGGGAGGGGGAGACACACACACAGGGAGGGTTAGTCTTTCTCCCAGGAGGAGCAGCACCCAAACATCTCTCTCTCTCTCTCTCTCTCTCACAGACACACACACACACATCATCCCACTTACCAGGCAAGGGCATTGGCGCCAGTTTCCGCCACGTCAACTTTGGCCCATATGGCGGTGATGATCTTCTTCTCCTCTTCGGTCCAGTGCACCATGGCTGACGGCTGGGGGTGGATCGGGACTGGGAGCTCCTCTTGGCTGTTTGGGGAAAGCCTTTTCCTGCGGCTGGGTCTCCTCCGGGGGACTTTTATCCCCCTGGACTGAAGCTCCTCCTTGCCGGCTGGGTCCAGTCATTGGCCATAGCCGGGGAGGGAGGGAAGGTGGCGGCCTTCCACAGGGTGTGGCCGTGCCCGGGGGGGGGCGGGGGGCGGGGAGGCACTTCCTGGCAGGCTTGTCATTGTCAGCCAGGCAACGCCCTCCCCAGAGATAAGCACCACGCATTGTCATCCCAAGGAGCAGGCGGCCAGTGGTGCTTCCGGGGCCCAGAGGGTTCCTCGCCTGGCTTCCGTGTGACCAGGCCTGTGTGTGGCCTTACGCAGGAGAGTCACCTGCTGTCGGCTAGGCCTCTGCCTGTCCTAGCTGCCTGGGGAGTTCCGGCATGTTAACTTTCGATTCTGCTGCTGTATGTGTCTTCAGTCCTTCTGTCATCTCTTTCACCTGCGCATTTGACCTTGATTGCCCGGTGTACAGTTTCTCTTGGGGAATAGAGCCCGTTGCTTTGGCCTGCGCCTCTCCCTGGACCCTGATTGGCCCTGGGCCGTCAGGGGGTCTGCTGGAACAAACGCAAGTCTGTTCGCTTCGCGTGGTCTCCCCTCAGTTCTAACACGAAAGCGTTACGCTGCCTGCGTGCTCTCAGTGTCTCAATAAACTTTACTTCTCGGAATGAAAGCCGTTGGGAGTGGATCGCTGCCGGAGTCTGACACCAGCACAGGACCACGGTGTGATCGGGCCTTGGTCTCCTCACACAAACATGCCCAGGAGGCATCTCTCGCACTCGGCCCGGCGAGTGTCTCTTGTGCGCAGTCTGTGGTTTGGCCTTGCTGCTTCTGGCCTTTCTCCCTCCCTCTCATCCAGATGCAAAATGTTGGGGGGGGGGGAGAGAGAGGAGACAGCCACTCCCCACACTGTCAATTTTTGTCCCTCTTTTGCCCCTATTCCTTTGGGTCCCCCCCCTTCCTTTCCCACATGTGTTTTGCTCCCTCTGGGACTACGAGAGAGAGCAACACACACTGGGGGGGAACCCCCAAAGCAATAGGAACACACAAGTGACGAAAACGACAGCACGGAAGTGGCCAAAGTCCACGTTTTGTGGCTGACCGCACTGTCTTGGCTGCTGAGAGGGTTTTCAGAACTTCTGTGACTGAGACTGGGACGGCTACTCCCCGGTCGGGCAAGGAGGGAGCAACAATGGCCATTCAGCTAAGGTGACCTTTCCCTAAGCTAAAAGGACCTCAGAAACCAACGGGTCAATGGCACCTCCTTGTGCAGAGGCAGTATACCCCCGAGTGCCATTTGCTGATGTTCCCGGACCCCTCAGCGGCTTGCAGTACCACCGGTCGCGGGGTCCTTCTGGACCACTTTTTGGGGGTTGGTCTTGGAGGGGCCCTGGTTTGGGTCCTACTCCTGCCTGATCCCTTCTCCTCTGGCCTACGGTGTCCTACAAGGCTCCCTGCTTTTGAACATCTACATGAAAGTGCGGGGAGATTTGGGCTGGGTTATCACCAACGTACGGATGATCCTCGGCTCTATCTTGCGCTTCCAGCAGAGATGCCAGGAAGGGTATGTGGAGACCATGAAGGAGCCGAGGCTTAATTTGGACCAAACAGAGGTGCTGCAGGTGGGCAGAATTTGCTCAGGGGCTCATTGCTATAAAATAATGCAGCCACATTAAAACAAAAAGGGGTCGGCCTGGGTCATTGTGACGATGAAGGCCAGTATCTAGAAGATCCACGTAAGAACATAAGAGAAGCCAGTGCTGGGTCAGGCCAATGGACTCCAGTCCAACACTGTGTCACACAGCGGCCAAAAAGACCAGGTGCCCTCAGGAGGTCCAGCAGTGGGCCCAGGACACTAGAAGCCCTCCCACTGTTGCGCCCCCCCAAGCACCAAGAAGACAGACCATCACTTGCCCCAGACGGAGAGCTAATAGCCACTGATAGACCTCTGCT